ACCTCATCAAACTAATCCATAGCTACCTACCAAACAGAAAAATACAAGTTAAACTCAACACCACAGTCTCCCGACCCAAAACTATCGATTTAGGCGTTTCCCAAGCCGCAGTTATCTTCCCACACCTTTTTAACCTCTACACGGCAGACCATCCCCAAATCCCGCTAACTAACCTAGCTACCTACGATGATGACACGGCGATCTACGCCCATTCAAAGGTCCCCAAAATTGCCATCCTCTCACTACAAACCCACCGAGATTCCTTGAAAAATACTACAATCACTGGAAAATCAACGTTAACCCTAAGTTCTAAGAAAATCTGCAACGGTTCTAGAAGATTTCAAGCCTATTTTTTTTCTTGTAATTAGTGTAGTTTTTTTTAGTAATTCCAGATTTTTGTTTGAAATTTACACTTTGCTCATTTCTCTATAATGATATTGTGGTAAAAATGAAATAAAACTAATGTTTTAAAAAAATTTAATTTTATTTTGATCCCCAAATTTTTGCTTATTAAAGATGTATTAAATTACTTAAATAGTCTAAAAGTTTTATACACTAAAACGTTGAACTCAGTTAACTAGAAGAGCGTAGAACTGCTAGAATGCGTTAAATTACTTAAATAGTATTAAAATTTTATACACTTAAATGATGATGAACTTAGATAACTAGAAGTGCGTAGAAATAATGGAACGAGTTAAATTTTATAACCGCTCCAGCATTTCATGCACCTCATCAGAACATGATGTTCTGTATAAGAGTTTGAAGTGGGATCGTTTTAAACAAAACCCACACCAATTCTCTTCATTCCCTAATAAATCTATAAAATTTTCCACGTTTATTATTTCGTGTTTCACAACAATTTTTCTTTGCAAATTTTTCGAAAATCCTGGCTTTCTTCTAAAGAAAATCGAATTCCAAGAAACAAACAATTTCCACGTATGCTACCATGTTTGGTATCTATATACCCAAACCATGCACATACTGCAGGCCCTCATCGTCGTTGTTAAACATGTTGGATTTTTTTTTAATTTCTTTCGATTTTACCTGTAGAATTCTATATCTCTAAACAGTTTGTAGCGGTTTTTATTTTCATTTTTCGTAATTTCATTGTTTTCATAATTTAATACCATCTATGGTTGGTTTGACGTAAGATTCGATGCATTTTTAGTGATTTTTATTATGTTATGATTGATTGGGGTGGGGGATTTATTTCCGTTTAGATATTGTTTTCGTGGTTACAAGCGGTTTAACCAGTCGTCTTCGAACCGTTGTGTCTTTGGGTTCGATTGAGGAGGCGTCTGATTTTTAAATGGGCTGATACCACGTTTTTGAGATAAGAGTGTCTTAGAAGAGTTTTGCATTGGTGTTTTGGCAAGATCTTCGTTTGCGGATTTTCCGGATTGGCTCTTATACTCATTTATTTTGGCACCTGTTGGAGTGTTTCATCGGATAGTTTTTTCCGGATTTATTCGTGGTTTATTTCACCCATCACGTGAAGCCGTTATAGATCGTCAGGTAAAACGCTTTGTTATTTTCATAATTGGGGTTTTGCATTGTTTATTTTTGGGTTAAGGGTTTTTGTTCATTCATATTTCGGATTTTAATTTTTGTTTTCCCTTTAGGCTTTTTATTTTTGCGTCTTATTATAAATTTTACTAATATATATATATATATCTTCGAGCAAGAGGTTTTCCGTCGTAAAACATTGAATCCAATCTTGCGTCAACCAACCATCGTCTTCGTGGAGGTTTCGCCCTCGTGGTTTACATTTCCTGAGAGCAGCCATCTTAATTTCCGTTTTCTACGTCCGGTTCCTTCCGAAGAAAGAGAGAGGGATAGGAAGCTGCGCAAAGGGTCTACGCAAGTAAAACATAACCAAACATAACCTTTTGGACGTCGGACGCGTCTTGGCGGTCTTGGCGCAATTCAGGATTAGTATCTATAAGAGAAAGATTTAATTCTTCGTGTTTTTGATTTAATGATTAATTAATTAATTAATACTTTTTTTTGATTAAGAGTCTTCAACTCAATATATATATATATATATCTTTTTGTTATTATCACCGATTTAAAATTTATTAAGATAGATATTTTTCTTTTAATTTTGTTAACTTATCGCTTGGACGTTACGGGCTTGTTTACTTTTTTTGACACTTATTTTGGGTGTCCCACAATTATATTTACATCAGCTGATGATAATTTATTGTGTACTAATTTTACTTTCTTTCAGGATTTTATTATTTGTATTTTATTTTTGGTTTCTCGAGTCAAAAGCGATAAGGTTTTTGGAGATTAATTTCATATCCTTACTTTTCATTATTAAAGAACATTATTGGTATAATACTAGATATATTATTAATATAATTATTTTGATTAACAAAGTTAATCAATTTTTGAACACATTTCAATATAGTTATTTGAATCTATTATCTCAACATTACTTTTTTTTGTGTATGTTAGTACTTGTTCCTTTTCCTTTGACATTGGATTCGGACTTACTGGGTCAAAGGTTTGTATTGATAGGTTTCGGTTTAAGTTCGTGGCGCCCTTATTTAGATCAGAACCCTCCCTTCTTCACTGAGTTACCGGAGCCCGATCCTATCAATTTGTGTCTTGTTTGGAATTTTTGGCGCTACAAGTTGACACTACGCTTTATGAATTTAAAATGAATTTTAATCTAATTTAAATTTATTACATTACTTGTTTAAAAAAAACGAATAAGATCTTTATTAATAAACAAATAGCTACAAAAGCAATAATTTTTAATAATTTTTTTTACGCGGGTTCGTCCGAAATAAATCACGCGAAACGAGTTCGTCAAAGATAAACTAAAAACTGAACTGAATTTCATTCTAGCAATCGTCTTGTAGGCGTTTTAGATTAGGACCGGGCTTTGGCGACGCTAAGTCGTGAACACAGATGCTGCTTTAAGGCGCGTACACATACAGCGAACGAAGGCGCTTCTTTCGGTTGATGTGTACGTATCAACGAACGCGTTTGAACGTGTTTGTTCGCATTCGTTGCAGTTCGCTTGCGAGGCGGTAAACTGGTAAACATCAAAGGATATTTGCCATAAAAGTCGTTCGAATTTGTTTTAATGTGTACGTGGTTTTATGGCGATTGGCCGAATTCTTTATTTCAGTTCAAAGTAGAGTTGCTGATAGTTTAAAATCGAATGGAGTAATTCTAAGGCTCTGGAACTCATTAATGAGTACCGCAGTAATGAATGCCTGTGGAATCCGGTTGAAAACGAATATAAAAATAAAATTAACAAAATGGACGCTTGGAATAAAATTGATAAAAATCTTAATCGGGCACGGCATAATCTGTAATTGAAAATTCGTTTTTTTGGTCCCTTTTTTTGTTCTACTGGATATGCTTTCAGAAGGTGTTCATGAAGGCTGAAAGCATCATCGCCGACGAACACATACGGAACTTTTGTCTGCCTATTACCTAGAACTTCTTCAGGCGGTAAATTTAAGTCACTGTTTTGTAGTTTTTTCCAGAAAACAGAATTTTTTAACACACCCCCATCTGAAATTCTACCCTGGCAACCGACGTCGGCAAACAAAAACGAATAATTTGAGTCGGCAATACCCATTAAAACAATACTAAAATTCTGTTTATACACTGTTGGAAATAATTCACGAGCACACCCTATATAATCTGAACGCGTGAAGATAAATCCATAATATTTGCGGAGCACAAAGGTTTACTGTAGACGAGTTTATTCAGCGAGTTTCGAGTTGTTCCGTCGCGGCATTGTTGACTGAGTGGCCCTTCCAAGTGGAACATTCCGTCGTTATGGAGACCGAAGTGGATGGAAAATACCGGTTGTTTTTAGTGTGGTGTGAGGGACCACATTGTTATCGTACTCTGTGCGCAATGGATGGGCGATCGCGTTACTTAAGCGAGGAATGTTTGTGGGTACGCACATTGAGGGTGTATCGTTCCGTGAAATTGCGTGTCGTCTCGAGCGGTCGTTATCGGCAGTGCAACGGGCATGGCGAGAATGGTCTGAGGTAGGACATAGGTACCTTCAGTCGCGGCCGGGACGGCCCTGCGCGACCCCAGCACACGAGGATCGTGCTCTTGTGCTCAGCGCTTTAGCGTCGTGTGCGGCCTCCTCAAGGCAACTTGGAGCTGTTTGGCCACCGGTGGGGGAAGGCGCACTCACTACGCGAACTGTACGGCGGCGTTTGGTAGATAGTGGACTGCGCGCGCGTCGTGCAATACAGCGGATTCCAGTAACACCCGAGCACCGCAGCATACGTCACGAGTGGGTCGACGCTAGGCATTAGTGGGTTACCGAGTAGAGGGACAATTTGTTTTCCGACGAATCAAGATTCGAATTGAGCACCGGTGATGCGCGAATTTTAGTTCGTCGGAGACGTGGTGATCGTCTACTCGAGCAGTGCGTGCAAGAACGCCCTATCCACCGACAACCGAGCATTATGGTATGGGGTGCTATTACACATGGTGGACGTACACGACTGCAGCGTGCATAGCAGACCATGACGGGTCAACCCTATGTTCGGCGGCGCCCAGGTCTGCTATACATGCACGACAACATCCGAATGCATATCGGGCGTATTGTACAGACCTTTGTGGAAGAGCACCGTATACGAATGCTTCCTAGGCCAGCTCGTTTTCCGGATCTGAATCCAATCGAACATGTTTGGGACATGACTGGTCTGAGACTTTAACGTTATCCGACTTCCCTGGCTAACGTTGAGGAGCTATGGAGGCGAGTTGAGGTGGCATGGTTGGCCATCCCGCTCGCTACAATACAGCAACTTATAGACTACATGTCACGTCGTGTAGCGATGGTACGCGAAGCTTACGGAGGATACTCTCGCTATTGATGTTTCTCCTCCCAGCAGAGTTGTGCCGCTCTCCATGTGAGAGTAAGTTACACTACTTTAGTACTACTTCCATACCAAATTTTATTCCGGTAGATACACGTGTTCAGATTATACAAGGTGTGCTCGTGAATTATTTCAAACAGTGTAATTAAAATAGTCACTTCCGCTGTCTATCGGTGCTTGTAGTATGCAATGTCTGCCATCTACAACTCCAAGGCAGTGAGGAAAATTCCATTGAGTATTAAAGTTTTCAGCTACACTCCGCCACTCTTCTGCATTACTAGGCATCTGAAAAAATGAATACCAATATCTAATCAGTCACCAATAGGGCCAAACTTACTGAGTTTATACAATATTCATATGTACATAAAATATACGGTCAATTAAAATATTTTTTTGTAGGAATTATCCGTGCTTCAAAGGAACACCCAAGAACAAGAGGTGGACGATCTCGAAAAAATTGTTGAAGAACCCAGTGATTATACTGAGCACGCAGAAAATATAAGAACATCAGTTGAAACACCGAAACGAAAATCTGATTTCTGTTCACCAAGGAAGATAAAACGGCCGGCTATCAAAACGAAAAATTCTCGTGCAGAAGAAGCCTACGAAATATTAAAAGACACAGTCAAAAGTCGCAGTTTCAGAGATGCCAGCACAATTTATGGGGAGCACATAGCCTCAAAATATAGAACTTATAGCTAGTACACTAGAAATGTAATTGAACAACTAATTGGTAATATTTTATTTGATGCTGATATGGGTAAATACAATGCCCCTGCTACAGTAACCATTCCTTCACCTTCACCCACAGATTCATCATGCTCGCAATATGATCAAAATTTATCATACCCACAAAGTATTTGTTCTTCCGCACCATCACCTTCACTCTCAAACGCATCAACGACATACAACCAACCCACATATATTAACACTCCCTATCAACAACCTCAAACCAATACTATAACTCCTTTGGCACCTTTAATAGATTACATTAATACTTTTAGCGATGTCGGTAATTAATTTAATTTAATTCAAATAATAATGACTGTTCATTTGTATTTTCGTTAATAAACTTGTATTAAGAAAATATATTATTTTTACTTACTTATTTTACTTACCTTCACGTAATCATCGAGGCTTTCAATTATTGCTGAACAAACTTCCGGTATGATGTAAGAAATTAGTTGCTTGGAAATTTTGAAGGTGTACATTAAACTAGTGAATGAGTCCCCGGTGGCTAGGTAACGAAATGTAAGCATTAATCTTTCCGTTGGTAGTATCGCTTCTCTGAATGATGTATTTTGTTTTGCTATTTTCCGGCCAATACGATTCAGTAGCCATTCAAAATCTGCAGATTTCATTCTACAGAAATTTTCAAAAAGCCCATATTCGACTTCGGACGTTAAATCTTTCAATAAATCCATTCCCCTATATCTACTTCTGCTTTTAAATAAAGATGTCATCCACCAGCGTCGTTTTCGTTTTTGCCTTTCCTCTTCGTCACTTATAATTATACATGCTGCACTTGCAACAATAATTAAGTCATCATTTGTTGCCATTATCACATGGGCCGACTTCCAACTTCCACTAATGACCGAAAACAAGCGAATGAGCACGAAACAATTCGTTTGCTACACATTCGTTTTTATGTGGACGCAAGCCGATATTTCCAGCAAATACCGAACGAATTCGTCCAAATTTGTTCGATTGAATTCGTTCACCTTCGTTCGCTCTATGTGTACGCGCCTTTACTTGCATAAAACCGATCGATAATCTAACGCCTCTTCCCTCTTTGTTCTTCTCTTTTCTCTCTTGCTACAAATTTAAATATATCCGGGTCCATAATGCGCATCGTATTCAGGTCATGACAGTATGCATGGGCGCCCAATTCGGCCCAATTATAGTCGAACCAACTACCCCACAATTCACGCACTAAGGTCCAGGGTCATTATTCACGATGCAAGTTTAATAAATCAACACGGTCTTTTACTGTTAAATTAACTTTTTGTAAGGTTAACTCCTTTACAGATTAAACTTGAACTTTTACAGTTTTGATTCATCGTAAAATAATCAGCAACTACTCCCAACACTACCACTTATGAAATAAAGGTGTATATTTACACTTTTATTCCCACTCTGCCCAACAGTTTTTGCGGTTACATTTCGTATCTATCAATTAATACTTAATTTTTTTCAATTTAGAGAACTCTCATTATTCCCCTACTTACAACTTTCAATCACTTCAATGTTAGAATGACCTGGATTTAAACGCGGTCTTGTCAACGATGTAGGTTTAATATTTAACCCTGCAGTGCGCATTGATGCAAATATGCATCAACCAAATAATTGATTAGTAAATACATAATATATCTGTAGAAAACGTAAACGTGTAGCGTCCCGTATATGAACCAAACGCGTTCTATGTATAGTTTCAATTACAATAGCACAACAAACCTAACCTCAAAAATCATCGTCTTTTGCATACGCACTCAGTATTGTACGGACGTCAAAACTGTTGAAGTTTCTTTGGTGACTTACGAAGAGTAATAACTTGTAAGGTAAGCGTGAAATTATTACCAATGACATCATTATCTCAGGCATAAGAAAATACAAAATATATATCCGATTTCACTCGAATAATATTTTTATATGAAATATAATAGTCGATTCATATATGAATCACCGCACATGCTGATACATAATATGTCATTTACTTTGCATCGTAATTTCTCGCATATAAATACCAATATACGATATTGTGTATACATAATTTATTGCAGATGCCATTATTTTACAAAAATGGTACGGAAAAGTTAGACTTACAAAATTTGAATCCCGTCAAACTATTCGATTTTATTGAAAACATACCTTCGGGCAGTGAAGATGAACTAGAAGTGAATAGTGACGACGATCGTGTACAAGTTGATCCCGATGCACAAAACTTATTGGATAAGTTTCTTGATGATCCAAACATCTGCGAAATTATAAAGACTGAAGCAGACCCGAATGAAGATAACTCGATAACTCTAAGTCGGTATTAGATTGTTTAAAAACTGCAACACCTCCAAAGGTAGTTCGGAAAAAAATTCGGAGCAATTTACATTTCAATGACAGTACTATTATTTCGGATGATAAACTACATAAATTGTGACCAGTCATCGATTCAATATCAGCGAAATTTCTAACAATTCCTATGGACGAAATGCTATCAATTGATGAGTAAAGTTGTGCAACAAAGGCACGTCATCATATGAAACAATACTTACCATTGAAACCCCACAAATGAGGATACAAACTTTTTTTCTAAGTGGCGTGTCAGGAATTTGTTACAAGTTTGAAATTTATACCGACACAGAAAACTCTCTTCCTCCTGTGGTTCGTCGTAATCTCTGCTACTCACTTATATTTTCTCACTTCGACTATGCGGACGCGGTTTATCCCGATCTCTCGGCAACTCTTATGAGTAAATTGCAGCGGCTACAAAATAATTGCATCCGGTTCATATTTGACCTAAATAATCATAATTGATCGCAATTACATTCAGATGTTAATCTGTCGGGCTTTTAGCTGCTCTCTCCCTCTTTTCGTGTCTTTTCTTTGTTTTTCTCTTTTTCTTGCTTAATCTTATTTGGTGATAAATGTTAATAATATCTAATTATCACTATGTTCGCGCGGCAAATAACCGGGAAACAAAATTAGGTGTTGGTTCTTTAATTAAAACAAAATGATAATAAAGATAAATAATAAAACAAAAAAATTGCAACTGATTGAATTTAATATAAATAAAGTTAAAAATATAATTACCTTGATTTAATATAAGTGTGAGCGTGGGTGGACATGATAGTAGAACGTGGTTTTTCGAATGATTGACACGTGTGATACAAAGTATGATTGAAAAGTAAGTGAGTGAGAGTATTTTAAACTTGAAAACTCCAGGTTGAGCCGGTGCACATAACTCATACACGGGGCGAAAATATGAAAATTAAATGCAGGACAAACACACTACTTACCATGTTCAGTAAATATTATTTTTGTTTGTTCTGTTGGGTCATTTGGCAGAGATCGCTTGTGCGATAAAATGATCCATTTGCTGATACTGCTTATACTGTTTAAGTTTATCCATTGGTCGACTAACAATCGACAATGGGATTCTATGTATATATTTTTTGTTCTTATTATTTTTTTTATTGTTTTTTTCTTCTTGTATATTTTATGTAATTTTGTATTCTTATCTGTGGCAATAACTGGTATAAATAAATAAAAAACGAACCAAACAAGCTACCACCAAATGAACCGGATTTGGGAGCGAGCAGCAATATTGTCTCGCGAAATACCACGCAACAAATTTCATAAATTATATTTTGATAACTATTACACCTCTATTCCGGTAATAGCTAATTACTTAGCTCAACTTAGCATTCATTCTCTTGGAACCGTGCGACGTAATCGAAATCCCTGCTGCAAATTTCCATCGGAAAAAGATTGCAATAAGATGAAACGGGTGAATATGTGACTGATTACGAAGGAACATCTATCAGTAACATGTATTGGAAAGACAATAAAACTGTTACACTTCTGTCATCATTTATTGACACAAAACCTGGAATGATGGTAGGAAGGTACAATCGAAAAAATAGAGATACCTTGCCCTGCTATTGTTACACAATACAACCGTCACATGGGAGGAGTGGACCTGCTAGACAGCATAATTGCGACATACAAAATAAAGATGCGATCACGAAAATAGTACATGAGATTATTTTATCATGTAGTTGATATCACGATTGTCAACGCATGGTTGCTTTATCGCAAATACACTAAAGGAAAAACTATAAAAATCTTGGCTGATTTTCGTCTTGAATTGGCCATCACGTTGTGTAATATCGGAACATGTGCAACCCCTAAACGAGGCCGACCAACTGAAATTGAACGAAGCATAAAGAATATCAAGGATCTTGCTGGAGAAACCGCGAGATCGAAAAAATTAACCGAAGAAGAAGAAAACCGAACTAAACCAAACCGAAAATTGAGGAAGGAGAAAATGGATAAGGTAATATCGAATTTTATTATAAGGTTCACAACGACGGTACTGTTGTGTTTTGAAATAATAACTGATGGTGCATGTTTGGTGAGTGCAATAATTGCGGAGTTATCCCAAGAGTTAAAGGATATTCAGTGGAATAACGTAATGAAAGATTATGGTTATGTACTTTATAGCGTACGAAAATGGAGAAATAAACGAAAGAAAAATGGAAACTTCGAGAAGTTGATTAACGAGATTCGATACTGACGAACAAGTATCGAATGAATTTAAGGCGATGGAATCGCGAGATATTTTGCCCTTTTCAGAATGTTTTGTTAACGAAATCCTGAATCGAGAATTTGAAAATAAAAATGTCATTTTAGAAGGAAATGATGATTTCAAAAATTCGGGAATTATGATTGCACGTGGTTTTGTGAGATCAGGTGATCGGCCACAAGCATTAATGGTTAATTTATCCGATAAAATAGTACGGATAAATAAAAACACGAAGTTGGGGAATGCGATAATCGGAGAACTACCGGAGCATTGTTCTCGAGAGTTCAAGGTCGCGAATATTGCAACGAAGTCGTCAGACGTAAACAAAAAGAATAATGATCCCGTAGAGCAGATTGACTTGAGTCATCTGGAATTTAACGATAAAAATAAGGTTAAAAAATTACTTAGAAAATATAACGATATTTTCGACAAGGGAATCGGAAATCTTAGTAGTACGCATAAAATAAAACATAGAATTGTTACTGATGACGTACCACCGATAACGAAACGGCCTTATCGAGTACCTTATCATCAGAGGGAAATGCTACAAGAAAAAATAGACAAAATGTTGGAAAAAGGAATAACGATGTCGATAACGATTATGATGTCAGAGAGCCCATGGAGTGCACCTGTTGTAATAGTAAATCGACAGATGGCTGATGGTTCAGTGAAACCAAGAATCTGTATTGATTATCGAGAATTGAATGCAATTACGAAACGAGATTATTATCCTTTACCAAATTTGCAGAAAACAGTTAATGTTTTGTCCGGAGCAAATTTACTTAACGTTTTCGATGTATCTTCGGCGTACCATCAGATTAAAGTAGATGAAAGAGATCAGGAGAAAACTGCTTTCCCTACACCGTACGGACATTATGAGATTAGTAGAATGATGTTCGGATTGGTGAATGCGCCAGCTACATTTCAGAGATTTATGAATTATACATTATCAGGATTAATTGGGAAACATTGTTTGGCATATTTAGATGACGTAATTGTTTTTACTAATGGCAGCGTTGATGAACATTTGGACCGATTGGAAAAGATTTTTGAAACTTTTAGGGAAGCTAACATAAAATTAAAACCGGAGAAATCGCAAATATTGGTCGAAGAAGTTAAATATTTGGGACATATATTATCAAGGAAAGGAATCCAACCGTAGATTTGAAACTCCAGTTGCTTTTGCTAGTAGAGGCTTAAAAAAGGCAGAATTAAACTATAGTACCACCGAAAAGGAATGCTTAGCGGTAGTATTCGGAATCAAACAATTCAGATGCTATCTGTATGGTCGTCGTTTCACTGTGGTTACCGATCATCGACCATTACGGTGGCTACTAACCATAAAGGATCCGAGCTCAAGATTAGCGCATTGGGCGTTATCCTTAGCAGAATATGATTTTGAAATCG